ATGTCACGGGGAGTATATCCGAAAGCTGCAGGTCCTGATTTCCGATACCAGTAATCACCCTTCATTGCATCAATAATTATTCGTTCGCATGCAGAGATCTTCGGGAAATAGCCCTGGGATACCTGACCTCGCATCAAATGGAAAGTTGGCAGCAGACCCTGCAGCTAAAGCTGCAGCTTTGAACGAGCAATTTACATCAGTGGCGGTTGTTGACGACCCACGCATACCATTGCCGTCCTTAGACCAACACCCTTGCCTCCCGAATGCGTTTCGTGCTCCGATAATAACCACAGCTGGAGTGCGCAAAGCTATTGCGAAGCTTAAGCTTAACACATCGCCTGTTATGGACGGCATCTCCAATGAAGTTGTTTTAAAGGCTCTAGCACCATCATTATCATATCTATGTCTTCTATTTAATTTGTCTTTCAGAAAAGGGAAGTTTCCATCGGCATGGAAAGTGGCCAAAATAACGCCGATATTTAAGGGCAAAGGTAGTAAAGCTACTCCTGGAAATTACAGGCCAATCTCTCTCTTATCATGCATTTCAAAGTTATGTGAACGAATATTATTTTTTATGATCAGTTGTATAGCCATGTTGCCCCTGCCATTCATCCTGCTCAGTCTGGCTTTCGTCGTGGAGACTCGACTTCACTGCAGCTGACTCGCCTTGTACAGGACATTATCGGAGCAAGAGCAGAAATGTTGTACACGGGCATTTGCTTCTTCGATCTTGCCAAGGCGTTTGACACAGTGTGTCATAGAGGTCTCTTGAGGAAGCTTCAAGTCATCTTTAACATCTCTGACACACCGCTGAAGTGGATAGAGAGCTATCTTTCTGGGAGAAGCCAGTTTGTGTCCGTGTCGGGAGCAGACTCTCCAAAGCTACCCGTGCTGTCGGGGGTGCCTCAGGGCTCAATTCGTGGACCATTGCTTTTTTTGTTTTTTATGTTAATGATCTACCAAGTCATGTTTCTGCAATGTCATTGTTTGCTGACGATACAGCTGCTTTGCGCCACTGTAAAACTGTCAAAAATCTTGAGTCAGAGTTGCAAGACGCGATAAATATGATTGTCACCTGGATGTCCAGTTGGAGGCTTCAGGCAAACGTTTCAAAAACCAGAGTACTGTTTCTAACAGATTCTGCCTCAATGTTTAAGTTCACCTTTCCCAATTCACCCACGGAAATTCAGACGGTAAAGGAGCACAAACACCAAGGGGTAATGTTCGATTCATCCATGTCCTGGGTCGGCTCATGTAGATTACATTTTGTAATAAAGTCAGCCGTGCTCTTGGCTATATTAAAAGTCATTGTAAACATCTCTCTATTCCGTGCCGTTCAGCTATATATAAAATGTATCTCCTTCCATTGTTTGAATATTCTGTCACAGCCTGGTGTGGCCTAGCTAAGGTCTTATCCGATTCCATTGAAGTTCATCATAAGAAAGTTCTAAAAAAATTGTTCTCGAAGAAACCTTCCTTTCCCTCCAATGAGTTGTACTTATTAGCTCAGACTACTCCGTTAGAGCAACGCCGACTAACTTGCCTCTGTATATTGGTTCATCGAATGCTCTTGGGTTGTGTTCCTGAACATATATAGCCTTATAACTGGTTTGTTTCGGGCCGCTCACCAGAAACAAAGTGTCTCTTCCCAAGGCCAAGTCAACGCAATTCACAAGATCGCCATTCTTCCAGGGCTACTGTGCGTGGCTACAACTTCCCGACTCAGTGAAGACGTCTGCATCATTGAAAGAATTTAAAGTGAATCTGAGGGCCTGCTGATGACTGAGTGCACCATAATAATAATAAAAAACTAATCAATATAGCTTTTCGGCTGTTTCCCTTTCATGTATATAATATTATAATAGCTATAAAGAGAACAAATTCTGCTGTCATCGCCACACTACAACAAGCAGAATCTGTTCTCTTTATAGCTATTATAAAATTGTTGTCTCCGCGTCGATTTTTTGTATATAATATTCTCCTTCTTTTTACCATGGTTGGCTAATAGCTATCACCCACATCTTCCCGTTTTGGCTGCCATCGAAAGCCATAAGATGTTGAATAAATAACAATACTCTTGGCACTACCAAGAGTAGATAAACAGTTTATCTACTCTTGGTAGTACTGTTTAGAACATTATAGTACAGTAGTATTGTACCACTCCCTGGCTCCAGTACTTTTTTTACAGTCGATATAGTCTTTATTGCACTCAGAAAACTAATAGGGCACCCATTTTGATAGTCCAGGGGATGGCCCACGCCTGGTAAAAAGAATAAACAGAGAGAAAAAAGAAAAAAAAACAGAAAAATGATAAGGCACCCATTATGATAGTCCAGGGGATGGCCCAGTACGGCAGTACTCCAACAAGACTGGCATGGCCCGGCAAGGGTCCAAAGCAGGCAGTCGTAAAATACCGGTATTTTACGACTCCCTGGTCCAAAGCAGGCTTCCCGACGCTGCGACATAACGAGGTGAGGGACATCACCGCCAGAGTCTAAGGCAGGTCGCTCACAACGTGACAGTGGAACCCCACCTCCAGCCCGTCACCGGAGAGGCCTTCCGCCATCGCACAGCTGTCACGGAGGAGCAAGCTCGGCTGGACGTTGCGGCTAGTGGTGTGTGGGGTGGCCGATTCGAGCGCATCTTTATTGATGTACGGGTGTTCAACCCTTTTGCGTCTTCGAATCGTGCCACCTCCCTCGCTGCTAGCTACAGACGCCATGAACAGGAAAAGCGCCGGAAGTACGAAGAGCGAGTACGCGAAGTTGAGCATGCCTCCTTCGTGCCCGTTGTGCTTTCTGCCTCTGGTGGCTATGGCAAGAATGCCAATGCTCTTTTCACGCGGATCGCCTCTCTCCTGGCTGAGAAGAGTAAGGAGCCATACGGGCAGATTATCTCCTTGCTGCGCTGCCGCCTTGGGTTTGCCCTGGTGCGTTGTGGTGCTGTGTGCCTGCGTGGCTCAAGGAGCATGTTTGCTCCTGCCGTGCCTGAGTCCCCTGCTGTGCTAGTGGCGGCGGAGGCACGCATCCAGTGAACCTGCAGTGATCCTACTGAGTGACAGCTCACGCTCAAATCGATCTGCACCACACACCACTGTCTATCGGCGCCATGAAAAAGAAAAGCGACGATGTTATGAACAGAGAGTGAGAGAGGTGGAGCATGCGACGTTCATGCCTGTTGTCCTGTCGGCAAGTGGTGGCATGGAAAGAGCGGCGACATCACTCTATCGCCGAATCGCGTTATTGAGAGCGGAAAGGAGGAAGGAGCAGTACTCCCACGTAATATCTTACATCAGATGCCGTCTCTCATTTGCCCTGTTGCGATCATGCATCATGTGTTTGCGGGGTTCACGGGGTCTTTTCCGTGAGCGATCGGTTCGGCATCCGGAGTCTGTTGAGCTGGTTGTTGCTGAGGCCCAGGTTGCTCGCATGTGAGAATCTATAAATTGCAGCAGATTATTTTTATTATAAATACTGGACATGGATATTGAATTAAACTGTACTCAGTGACTTTTTACATTCTACAGGCTACGTTTTATTGTTGTTATTATTAATTTATTATTGCAAAGCTTTCCTTTTGATCTTCAAAATTTGAGTAATAAATTTAAAAAACAAAACAAAATAAAACTGAGTGACAGACTCTGTAATCATTACTGTATCTGATGATTCGTTTTATGTAATTGTTATTTTTGCTGCAGTCCGCTTATGCTCTTCACTGCACCTATTCCGTAATTCAGTACTTTCATTTCTAGGGTACCCTGTAAGAAGGCCTTAGGCCTGTGGGGATTGCCCTATCAAAAATTTGATAAGGCCAAACTAAAGAAGGTGTGTGGTTCGACTAACATGGACATTTTTTTTACGGGCGGGCGGGCGGATTTTTTTTTTTTAATATATTTTTTAGTACATGTAAATACACTGTATACGCGTATCGAGTAGACTCTACTACCAGCACAAGGCAGCAGTCGTACCACTCACTGCACTGCACTGCAGTACAACTACAAGTCAAGTCCAAAAGGAGCCGCCTGCGTCCGCAGACTCACGCCGCACAGCACGTAGACGTGGACGTGTTCAGTCCACGTAGACCCGGGTGCTCGAATGAGACACAGGGTACCAAAACAGAAACAGCCTGAAATTGTACCTAAACTTGTTCCGATTTCGTTTAGTTTTCACAAATACCATCAACATACGGCCCGCTAACGGTATGCCAAATTTCAGAGCTGCCCGGTAAACGGTTTTTGAAATACTCACGACCCACTTTTTGCTGGGTCCTTGATTCGAGGATGTGGGTCTCCTGTACGGTGCTGCCAAAGACCTGCTGAATCTGCGGCTCCACTGACCATTTTGCTCTCAAAAATGAAGTAATAAGTTACTACTACCTGCCCTCAACTGCCACACCAAGCGTAGACGATGGTAGACCCGTGTGCTTGAATCGGAGACGATCTGACGAGTTTGCTGTTTCTGATTCGAGCACCCAATTTTCAAATAAAAAATCCGAAGGAAATACGACCATTTTACTGCGTACTGTAGCTTGTGTTGTAGCACACCCAGGTTCTGAATTCCTGTTGGGTGGGTCAAGCCAGACTCCCTTCACTGTTCCATCGCCTCTCCAAAAGTATATTCTGACATTGTTGAGATTTACAGATGAGAAACTTCACACCTGTCAAATCGTTTCTGATTCGAGCACCCGGGTCTACGTCAGTCACACGACAGCCCGCCGAAAAAAAGTTACGGTCGGGCTGAAATTGTACGGTCGGTCGGGTGAGTCGAACCACACACCTTCTTTAGTTTGGCCTAATAATAATAATAATTTTGCCCGCACAAGAGGCTCAAGCTCAAGGCTTGTCCCTAAAAAAAAAGAAAAAAGAAAAAAGGCCCAACAAAGTAGCGCGCTATCGGAGTATCGCGCTAGCGCTGCCGACCTGCCGTTGCGTAGATAGCAAGCGCACTTGATGCATAATACGATAATAGCGCATGCGCATATGCCAGGATGGCAAGAGCATGCGCGAAATTATTCCAAAAGAAAAGACTTTTCCTCAATTCCTCGTGTTCACTTTGATTGCGATCTTGTGCAGGATGGCTTGCAACTGCCATCAAAAGTCTCTTGCAATGTCTCTCTTTCATCCATCCGTGGACGCTTTTACGTGACTCATGATGAAAACTGTTGGTGATGGCTCCGAAATATACACTGTAAGTTTTGACGAATTGATTGCTTTTTCGTATTAAATCGAGTTGATTCCTATCTTCTTGGGCCAAGTAACAGTTAGGAGTCGGTAGGCTCGTATTCCTGGTAATCCTCTTGTCCCTAAACTATCTACATTGACTCCATTCCCATTGGGAAAGTAATTTTCGGTGAAAGGCATATGGCCTCGCGCCATTGTATGCACATTCGTCTTCCTTGATTGGTGTTGTTTGCTTTAGTCAGTGTGTGTGTGCACGCAGGCTACAACACAAAATTAATAATAGTGGTGACGCGATACCTCACTGTCGCACGCCCTGTCACAGGTCTATTGACTTCTGTACTGAGGCATATTTCTAGTAATGTGATGGAATCCTATTCATACCTTTGATTGTTTTCTGTGACTGGTTTTTGTATTTTTTTTTCCACAGGCAAATTTGCAGTGCAGTACAAAAACAATGAAGAAATTATGCTGACAGCACACTGACCAGGCTGCATGGGGGCATTCCAACCTCGTGTTTCAGTAGCCTGGCCATGTTCTCCATCCTTGCAGTGCCGATAATACAGATTGTGCTGGCCACCAACTGGACCGCTTTATCCACAAAGGTAAATATATGCATTAGCTATCATTATGTATGTTTAATACTCCAAACTATATAAGCAATGGTATTATTGTTCGTCGTACAGCCGATGATTAACATTTCAAAGCTCGTTGACGGCAACACGTGGCAAGCCTTCACAGGTATTTGCACGTGACTTGCGTGTGGAGACAAACTACACTTGAAATGAGGCTCTGCTTTAGTAGACTAGTTCAGCTATTGTCCACAGCTGCATGCCTGCACTGTGAATTCTCACCGTTCCAATGTTGCTTGTGCTTTTGTTGTAGGCTTCTCTATGGTGGTGGTCTACTGCGAAGATTGCAGACATCCCTGTTCATACGCTGTGCCTGCTTGGTGAAATGGTAAGCCTATTCCATTATCCTGAATATTCAATTGTATCGCTCTTTTGCACAGCCAATGATTAACATTTCAAAGCTCGTTGACAGCAACACGTGGCACGCCTTCACGGGTATTTCCACGTGCATTGCGTGTGGAGACAAACTACACTTGAAATGAGGCTCTGCTGTAGTAGACTAGATTAGTCGTCCGCCATTGTTTGTACTGGAAATCTTACTGTTTTTCTAGTTCACTGTTGTGACATGGCTGTTTTTTGTGATTGATTTATTACAGGTTCTTCTATTGACGTGACTACTGCTGAAAGCCGAATTACTTGCAACCAACCATACCTGTGCCTGGTGGTGAATTGGTAAGTCCATTAAGACTCTTTTTTGATTTCCTGAACCTATGTATTCTTACCTCTTGGGATGAGAACTAAGGTGGTGACACGCTGTCGTGGATTCCTTTTATTTAAGTCGCTGAAGAGGCTACAGTGGCCGCATCCATTCCTGGTGATTATTGTGCTGTGCTGATTGGTTGCATTTCTTCGTTTTTGTGTTGCTTGCTTCACAGGTTCGTCAGGAGCGCGCTTCGTCGACCCGTAATGTCATAGCTTGTTATTCTGCTGCTTGTCATCGTGCATGTCTATCCTATTCTGCCGTGAGGTCATTGCATAGTGTACCACTGCTTCTGCCTTTTGACTATCAAGTTGGCCCCGCGGTCAGCATTTCCGTAACCATACTTCCTCTGTTGTGTGCGTGCCTGGATGGGTTATGCCACTCCTTTGTGTCGGTGATAAAATATGACTGCATGATCTTCCCCATCCATAGTACCACTGCCACTGAAAGCATGAGAGGGGGACCAGGAGTGTGCATGTTGTAGGTGTGTGTTTGCCTGCTACCTTATTTGAACCCGCTGGAGACGGATGCCAGGAGGGGTACAGGCAATGTGGTTGATGCGGTACGAACTAGAACAGGACTCACCAGAACAGCGCGTTTGGTTGGGACTGCACCTGTTCTGGGTCGGCCAGAACATGTTCTGCTTGCTCCGGCCTCGAGGCCGGAGCAGACCGAGCAGTTTCACTTTTTCACAGTGAAACCTGGCGGGAACATCGATTTTGGTCCCAAATGATCACGTGTATACGCTTTTGGGTGAGAATAGGGAGGTTTAGTCCCACGGATACGGGAGCGTGGGTGATACACGTACTTGCATTCCTGCAATGGACCCACGTTCGCAATGTTGTGTTAAGTCACACGGAACAAACAAAACCATGAAGAGAAAGGCCCTAACCTGGTAGACGACGCTAAGGGTGCGTTTGGTTGGTACGATCTAGAACAGGGTCGAACAGCTAGTGCACATGGAGCAGCCTCATGCCAACCAAACGGTACTCCAGAAACAGAGCATATTTTATCAAAAAGTATTCTTTCTAGACCAAAGAGTGGTATATTTGATAACATTTAATAATGATAGAAATTTTTACGATAAGTGTTGTAGCATATTTTTGTGAAAAATATGCCAAACTTGGTGCATTCTTCAAAATGTGTATGGGTCGCCATGGTCACTGTGTACGGTACGACGAGTCTAACCCAAAAGCGTATACACGTGATCATTTGGGACCAAAATCGATGTTCCCGCCAGGTTTCACTGTGATAAAGTGAAACTGCTCGGTCTGCTCCGGCCTCGAGGCCGGAGCAAGCAGAACATGTTCTGGCCGACCCAGAACAGGTGCAGTCCCAACCAAACGCGCTGTTCTGGTGAGTCCTGTTCTAGTTCGTACCAACCAAACGCGCCCTTAGGGTGCGTTCCTATATTCTCTAGCTTCTAGAAGTCGAAAAAACTGGGATAACTCAGTCGAAGAATTCGGAGATATTTTGCACATGTGGAGCAATATGAAGGGCCAAAGGGGCCGCGATCTTGATTTATGCACGTGTGCGTACACTCATGGTCAACACGTGGCTTTTAGTCGTAGTTCGCATGCGCTGATCCCAAACCGCGGGAATCTCCAAGTTTCAACCACCTCTGGAGCTTGGAAAGCCTCTTAAAATTCGGAGAGAATATAAGAACAGAATTTCAGCAGTTGTAGTCTTCGGGGTGCTGAGTCGAATGGTCGTGGTCCGAGGAAGCTGAGACGCTCCCTTCCTACTTGAATCCCAATCGAACTCGCGCACTTCCACCGAAACTGGGTGACTGCGCCCTACTAGATGGGGATTTGTATGCAAAATGTCACTAAAAGCGCCATTTCGTTCTTATAAAAGCACGGATGACCGCGATTGGCCCATATGTTGTAGTCTTTTGGACGCTGAGTCGACTGGTTTTGGTCCGAAAAGGCTGCGATGCAGCGTTCCTCCTTTATTCCCAATCGAACATGTTTGAACAAGCGGTCACGTGCTCCTGGGTGCCCAAATCACCTGGTCACCACGCCAGCAGGCGACAACTTTCACACCAAGGTTCAACTCGAGTGACAGGACTGCACCCAAAAAAGGTCAAACAGGCTAGTAAGTTGTACCCTGCAGGCACGGTGACCAGGTGACTGGCGTACGCAGGAGCACGTGACCGCTTGTTCAACCATGTTCGATTGGGAATAAAGGAGGAACGCTGCATCGCAGCCTTTTCGGACCAAAACCAGTCGACTCAGCGTCCAAAAGACTACAACATATGGGCCAATCGCGGTCATCCGTGCTTTTATAAGAACGAAATGGCGCTTTTAGTGACATTTTGCATACAAATCCCCATCTAGTAGGGCGCAGTCACCCAGTTTCGGTGGAAGTGCGCGAGTTCGATTGGGATTCAGGTAGGAAGGGAGCGTCTCAGCTTCCTCGGACCACGACCATTCGACTCAGCACCCCGAAACCTACAACTGGTGAAATTTTATTTTTTGCCTTAACTTCCCCTTTAAGAAGCTCATCGAATACTGTATAGCAGGAAATTTTCGGACGGAATTTATTTTCGTACAATTTCGTACACGGCCTCTTTTGTACTAACATTAATTCCGTACTAAAATTTGTTCCTGTTTTTTTTTTTTTTTTCACAAAGCACGAAGAAGTGTAAAAACAACAGAAAAATGATAAAGCACCCATTTTGATAATCCAGGGGATGGCCCACGCCTGGTACTGCCACTGCATTATAAATCATACGTAATGACTGTTTTAAGGTATGAAGCAAACTAATAGCAAAAGTGTAAATGAAAATTGCTGTTAGACCACACGAATGTGGAGTCATGTACACTATACAGACGTCAGCATGAAAACACGTGCATTTAGCATGTAGCACTGTACGAAAATAAAATCCGTACGAAAGGTCGAAATTCGGCTTTGTCCGAAAATATTTCCGTCCGAAAATTTCCTGCTATACAGTATTTTGATTTCGTGCTTCGGAAACGTCTTCAGCTGAGCACCCTCACAGCTCGCACAGTGCGCTCCATTCTGATTTCCACCCACGTTCTGGAGGAACGTGGGTGAGCCTCCATACAGAGTCACAAACGGTGTGTCGTGAATCCGAAAACGTCTGTACGTGGGCAGCTCTACTGCGCAAGCCAATCTGTGGAATAGATCATGTAGTAGAGCTGCCCAAGAAAGTCGTATCCAAGGGGTCGGTCTTTGACGATAGGGAGGTTTAGTCCCACGTAATCCGTGTGTACCACGTGACCCACGTACAGACGTTTTCGGATTCACGACACACCGTGTATATGTATGGAGGCTCGCTCACGTTCCGCCAGAACGTGGGTGAAAAGCCGCCAGATTACTAAAAGATTTAAAAAAAGTAGATCATCGTGTCCGTTCCCGAAGGGAAAAAAAAATTTAAAAAAAGATTAGTATGCTGGTAATCACACCCTGTCCTCTTGGGAACGAAGTTCTTGGGCGCCTGACTCTACTGTAGTATTTCAGATACTGTCATTTCACAAATTTTCGGTGTACTTATATTTTCGGTACATCTGTTTCATACCTAAATTAAAGTAAATTTTCAATACACCGAACAAACACTAACACACATAATCCAATAGGGAACTGCTTCTCTGTACCTAAATTTTCTGTTCACCTAGCACCTAAAAGTTCTGAAATTAGAGTATTGCATTATTGTACATTCTTGTCTGTGCAAGCTGACCACATCATTGAAATACATGTAAGTATGGCGGTGCCCGAATCTGCAGTAGCAAGAGTGCATTCTCCCTCCACATGGGTTACGTACTCTTGTCCCGGTGACAGTGGGTCCGGGTACTCTCAGCACAGGGTACAGTGTTGTCATCTGACATATGTATTGTATTGCTTATGGCATTTTCATCGGCTTCGCCTTAACGATCTTGGATTCAGCTCCATCGGTCACCTAAACGCAGAGAAGTTGCTCTCGGCAAGGGTTGACGAGAAAACCCCAACCCATTGTGTTTTGTTTCGCACCTTTTCCCAAACTACATAACTACAGCATAATAATGTTGGTATTTGAACTAGGGCTGCAACGAATATTCTATTTCACAAACGAACGAATACTCATCCATAACGAACGATTAACGAATATTCTCTCAAAATGATGAATTATCTCTAAGGTCGAAACAATTATTTAAATACAAGTAGGAACTAAATCAATTTTTGTAAATGAATCGAATAATAATTCTATACCAAAAGAATCTTAGAAAGAGTTTTGGCTAGTCCCCAGTTGTTCTAGACCAAGTAGATGTCTAGTGGAGTCATGTCCACTACTCCTGTGAGCCATATTCCCCTTTCTAAACACATAACACATGTACATATCACTCCATCCGTTCAAGAATTACTACAAATTGATCGACAGGAGCAGAGTGTGCGCACGTGTCAAAACGAACGAATATTCTAGGGGAAAATATTCCTTCCATCGGGTTCCTAACGAATATCAATCGAATATTCGAATATTCCTTGCAGCCCTAATTTGAACAAGTGTGCGGATTGTGTGACATGCGATTTAGTCTGGGGGCCAGGGGGGTTATTTGTGAAGTTTCGTTCCCGGTAAGAGGGCACCAAGTTTTTTCGATTTGAATGTCAAGTATCTTCAAGATGCTGCAAGATGGTATGCCATTCAATCAAAATTTCCATCGGGAAGGTCATACAATGAAGGTGGAAAGAATTGATGATGGTTGCCATGGTAACAAATCAGTTAATTCAAATTTACAGGAGAACTATGCGATATTTTGACAAAAATCCTGCTGGATATAAACATATCCAATACGTATGACGAGTTGGCCAAGTTTGACTGAAAACAAATAAATTGCAGGGCCTCAAAGGTGAATTATAAAATCGGATCTACTGCAACTATACATTACTGTACATACAGTACGTAATTAAACTAAAATTTTAAGATATGCATGCATACACCGACAACTGTACAAATATATTGGTGACCAGTGTACATGTACATGTAACATCTATAAAGCCTATTAGAAAAGAGTTAGAAATGAATAGAGCAGTCTGTGACCAATGGTGATTTCATATTTGCTTTGTTTTCCTAGCTTACTATTGCCGTGGCTGGCTCAACGCCCTTGTCTCAGGGGATTCTGTCCCTGCATTAGCTATGCTTGTCACATGCTATGAGATTGTGTCTAATAATAATAATAATAATAATAATCCAATGGATATGCATGTACATGTACATATACATGCAGAAATATATAATTTTATTGTACACAGGGGGAAGTGGTCCCGTCCACCGCAAAGGGGGCTCAACAGCGTCCTCGTTTGTTATTGCTGCTGACACAGTCACGGTCCTCTTGGCAGTTAGAACATTAAACCACAGGAGCACCATGCGTGCAATTGCAGACATCAGTTCACAACATGTTATGGCGACGACATGAGCAACGTCCATGCAGGGAGGTAGCTGGTTGGATTGCTGTTTTTTAGGCAAAACAGCTCATACCGGGCTTCGTTCACCTGCTGGCACTTGGACGCCTTGTACATCTGACAAGTGAACCTTTCTATGGCATCCAAAGTGGCTGGTGTTAAAATGCACGTCCAAGCTCACACATAGCTATGCGTGCTGATTCACTGGCGGGACCATCACCATGGACAATGTTGAAGACAGCACTTTTCCCACGAAAGGCAAACGCGCTGGTGGAATCGCTACCAGTGAACGCATGTAAGCCGGGCAGAGCACTGCAAACATCGGCACTGAGCTGCTCTGCAATAGCGGTCATGTTGACTGTACGCCGGTTGTTGCCTGCACCAACCTCCACCAGCAGCGTACACGGCATAACATGGCTAACAGAACAAGCAATGATGTCAACATCAATGATGTCAACATCGAAATTTTTTAGACGTGACTTTTTCCTACTTTGGCCCCCGGACTAATTGAACAGGGTAGTCAAGAATACCGTTATACTCTTAGTACATGTACAATGTAAGTGGTAACTTAACGCTTTATTCATCATGACATACTATGCTGTAGTACCCATTGACATAGGCATTGTGTACATACAAAATTTACGCAATCTCAGTTTCCAATGCCCGGCGATCGGGCCCATGCCATGCCATGGCCCAGTTTAGTTGAAGGCAGATCTTGATGGTTTTGAAGTGAGAATTAATTATTTTGATCACGATAATTTTAAATAATTTATAATTTATAGTGCCTAAAAAATACTCTTATAATATTTTTACCGTTCTACAATAATGATGTAGTTCGAGTGGAAAAGATACGTTTGCTTTTTGAATTTTGAAGCTGATAACATTATTGTCATGTAAATGGTATTATTATAACCACCAGCCTATCTCTACCTGTACAAGTCGTGAGCACTGAGTCCGTCATCTATCTTCTTCGGTGTGTAACGAAATTACCAAACGAGCCAAGGGTGTGAGTGCAATTTAGCTCCCTCGCGGCAAGGTTTACCGACGAAGATAATGTCCGCAACACGAGTGGCTGTGGTAACTGGAAGCAACAAAGGTATTGGCTTGTCCATTGTGAAAGCTCTCTGCTCACAGTTCCAAGGCGATGTGATTCTGACATCGCGTGATGAAAAAAACGGAAAGACTGCGTGCAGCACGTTGAACGAGCTGGGACTCTCACCTAAATTTCACCAACTGGATATCACAGACAAGGAGAGTGTAAAGCGTTTAGCTGAACATTTGAAGACCCAGTATGGCGGCTTGGACTTGCTGGTCAACAATGCTGGCCTAGCATATAAGGTGGCATCAACTGCTCCTCCTGAGGAAAAGGCACGCGTCACGGTTGGAGTGAATTTCTTCGGCACACTAGATGTGTGTCACCAGCTATTTCCTCTTCTCCGGCCAAGCGGTCGTGTGGTACACGTAGCGTCGCAGTCTGGTCTCCTAAGGCGAATAAAGAATGTAGAACTGGAGTCAAAGCTGAGTTCGGCAACTCTAGCAGAAGATGAACTTGTGCAGCTTGCACATTCGTATATCAAGGAGGTCGTGGAGGCTGGAGAAGGAGGCAAGCCCAAGAACTGGCCCCACGATTCAGCCTATTCTGTATCCAAGGCTCTGATGATAGCTCTAGCGAAAGTGCAGGCACGTGATCTGGCGAGTCAGCGTCCAGGCGACAAGATCTGCATCAATGCTTGCTGCCCTGGCTATGTCTGTACAGACATGACTTCGCACAAGGGTCCTTTGACTCCGGACCAGGGTGCAGAAACCCCTGTTATGTTGTCCCTCCTCCCAGATGCCAGTCCAACTGGTGATTTTTACTACCTGAAGAAAGTAATTGAGTGGTAAGACTATGGTGATGGTGACAAGCGTGTGTTTAGTCTCCACTGATCCACTTGCTACAGGCGTGCGCTTGCGTGTGTATGCATGTGTGTGTGTGTACATGTGTGTGTGTACATGTGTGTGTGTGCGTGCGTGCATGTGTGTGTGCGTGCGTATGTGTGTGTTTATCAAGTTCTTCGGGGAGACCCACGTGACCAGTTTATGCCAGTGAGCAAGTAGACTACAAGTGTGTTTGTGTGTGTGTGTGCATGGTGTGGGAGTTTTTAGTCGAATTGCATTGACATTTGACTGTTAGATCACCAATGGTGTTTTCGCCCTATTGTTTTCACTTTGATTGCTTTCTTTTATCATACCCACAGTAAAAACTGGTTTTAGTGACCACCTGACCGTTTTTCCATGCACGAACAGGTCTACACAGGAACTGCACCGGATACAGCGACCACCTGCCTTGCGCGACCAGCGACCGACTTTTAGTGTACCAGGTGCCATGTTGGACCTGCATGCAGCGACCGAAACTAGTCAAGAGTGTTATGCTCAGGCTTGACTGCAACAGGGTTGACGTGGGCTCAGAGGGAGTGCATGCAGTCAACAGAAGTGCCCGCGCAGGGTAGGGTGCATGCACTTGAGTGAGGTGTGAATCTCATGGGTGATTTGCCTGCACAAAAGTGTTCCGAAGTATGCTCAGCACCTGTTAATACACATGGAAGTACAACATTCACACAACAATGACACAACCAAGTCCTTTTCTGCCGTTAACTCAAGAGTTTCGTCATCAGACAGCATGATGGAAGTAAAAGTACATGACTGTATATACACCATCCGATACTGTAAAACGGGTAACGTTTGCGACAATAAATGTTTGCGTTTTACAAACTGAGACTGGTTTGCGCTGTTTAATGTTTGCGAGTCGTTCTACAGTCGTTCTACACAATCGAGTCAGTCCTTGCACTGAACTTTACATGGCGCGAGTTTGCGTTGTTTAAAGTTTGCGATTCGGGGCATCTCGCAAAATTCGCAAACATTTTTACGTCGCAATAGTTACCCATTTTACAGTATGCCGCGAATGTATGGAGCCTGGTTCTAAAGACCCCCCCCCCCCCCTGGCTTTAACGATTGCTTTTGCTTGCACCGTGGACTGATATTTTGTTAAAATTATCCAATGGGACTACTATAAATTGGGCTTCCATTGGCCCACGGCTCTCACAATATGATGAAAGTGTTTAATGTGTACGATCTTCTTCATCATACACAATCATTAAAAACACTTTCATCATACTAGTATTGTGAGAGCCGTGGGCCAATAGCCCCCGGTGAGAAGGCAGTCTTGCCTGTTCATATGGTGAATTAAAATAAAGAAACAACGGCAACACTCTTTTTGTGTCAATAGTGCAATTCAAAGACAGACGCAGTGCGACATGTGTATGAATTCTGCACGATACGGGCGCCTAGTATCCCCTAAATACTGTCACTTATCAGCTCGAAATCCTAAAAACTTGGCCTGAAATGTAAGTTTTGTTTCTACTGAAGTGGTAAGTACAAGTACTTCTAAAGGAACAATACAATGAGCAAGCTTGTGAAACGATTGACAAGCCTTATTTTACCGAGAATTCTCCACAGACCACAAACAAGCCTTCACTTAAGCCTAACACACTTGTGACTGCAAGGTTTGTTTCCGGGACTTTTCCGCATGCCCGGTTCAGATAATTTCGGCCTAAGAAGTAGGAACCCAAATCCCTTACCACTCGTGTAGGTCGAACTGAAACTTTCAAGAAATTGCATGTCTGTGTCATAATCTCATTGACAACATGCATGCAGTAGCTTCTGTGTGCGTGCAGCATTGGATTGAAATGCACTGCAACCACGGAGTGCCAAGGGCACATGCAGTGATAACCAGGGCCAGGGAGTTCTAAAAAACTGGTATTTTTAGTACTCCCTGGTAATCACCAGGGAGTCCCAGGTGCTCACCAGGGAGTCGTAAATACCAGGTATTTTACGACTCCCTGGTTATCACAGTCTTCCAGTTGAAGCCAGGGAGTAATTTTACTACTCCCTGCTTGAAGCCATTGTGATTTGTCGAACTCTGAATATGGAACCGAAGGTGGACAACATAACAATGTTTGCAGTCCACAATGTCATGGTAGACTGAAAACATCATCATGCATATTTGCAACCAGCACATGCCAGTCCTACCAATGGTATCTTTGGGTTTGGGTAGCCTAACCTGGAAGATCTTGACAAACTGTATACACTGTACTGGCATCTGTCGAGTTCCACAAACACAGTGCCGGGGCGATAAAAGGTCGTAGGCATACTATCAGCTAAGATTTCCGGCAACTGTTGCCTTCCAATGGAAATGCTCGCATGACGGTTCAGCGTTTTTCTTGTCTTGCAATTTGAATTTAGAACGCAAAGGGAGCTGACCTCATGGGAGTCCTATTCTGGATGTGTGACTACTCCTACCGGACCAGTGGGGAAAACCAGTAAAAAGAACCGAGGCTCTGGCTAAAGCATTCGTTTAACCGCGGATACAGGTCTGCCTGCAAATTGAGTACCCTTGGCTACAAAACTTCGGAAGAGGTGTTTGAGGCCCGTTGAGGTGCGCTGCACTGCTAACATTACAGCCCTGTTACTGGGTGGGTGGTACACTGAAGCTTCAGAATAGCATTCCTACAAGGGATAATTATAAAATTGGTACATTTATTGAATAAATTGTATTATAGCAGATACCAGTGCTCTGCATCAGCAATCAATTGACTGGAAAAGTGTAAGCAGGGTCCTCAAAAGGTATTCCATATTGTAATAATAGTAATGCAAAGAGAAAAAAGAGAAAATAAGTACGTTCTGGTCCGTATGATCATTCTCAGGACCGTAGGCTGGAATCAAAATTGGATATGTCACGTGTCCTCCTAACTCCTAAGCTGCACTTGGACTGCACACATGTAGAACACAACTTTGCCTATTCTGACCAAGCAACAACATTTTGGTTTCTTGCAACGCAATCCGCACAGAGAAAGTCAGGTTCACACGAAATAGTGTGCAGTTCGTCCGGATACGGAAATGTATTGCATTGAGGCTGTAGACGGCGAATGAACTCAACTGTTCAAGCAGACTTCAGTACAGACAGTACGCGTATTGGCACTCCAGCAGACTGCTCAGACGTGCCCACTCCCAAATGATGCAGCCATCTACAATGCTGGAAACAATAGCGGGATGCATCTTGCCTGTGCCAGCAACCGACTACCCAACAGCATCAGTGATAACTGTGTTCTTGTTGAAGATGATCAGTCTGCTTGGCATAGCGGCATATAACTCAGTAGCAGTCACTCACAAACAAGTCTGGATGTCGAGCGGGAGGTCACAAACCGGGAAACAAGGACACTTTGCATATGCCCGGCTTGACAATTGTGACCCAGATCAGCGTCCACATTCTGCTGAACAGGCGTAACCTTGAAGAGAACGCCGGTAGGTCTGCCAATCGCAACGCAGTTTCAGGAGACTTGGACCGGCTGAGGAAGCTGCATGGAATCATAGTAGCTGCTAAGAGGTATATAGATGGCGCAAGTGTTGCACAGGGTTCCTTTAAGTATGGCCTTGTCGGAAAGAGGTCCGGAGTGACTGATGGATCCATGCCAGAACTCACTTTGCCGCTATCAACACTCATCAGCAAGCACCCCAGTGGGACGGATCGAGGGACAGATGGATCCACACAAGAACTCATTTTTCTGTTACCAGCACGCAAGAGCAAGCACCCTCGCCACTGCACTGGGTTAAGGTTACTTGGTCCTGTTCTCCACATCACTCCGCAAACCACTCACAGTTCCACACCATTTGAACATGGAGGATCATAGTCCCCAAGCGGCGCTATTAGGACTAAATGCACACCGGGGCTGGAGCTGGGTGGCAATGGGAAGACACTGCAGTACTGATCGTATTTCACTCGCTGACTGCAGAAGATGACTGGGTAGGAAGTCAGCCTCTATCAAAAAGCTGCATAAGGTTGCAGATGCCTAACAGATGGAGTTTCAAAGGGGCGGTAGGTCAGCTAGAAATGCAGCATCCAGATCAACATTGTCAATACCGGGCGTCAACATTGGATTAGGCTCACCGAAGCTATTCGATCTTGTCAACAAGGCTTCGAAATCTCCCAGGAGCATATCACCAAGTTCAGGCATCGGCAGCAATGGGTACTGAAGTGTTTCTGACTGGGAGACCGGTGCAGAGAACGCCGAACTAATTGCGGCTTCGTACGAACATGGCGGAATGGTGGGCGGTGCCGTGGGTATGTTTCCGAAACCCATCAGCTCGTCAAACATGTTTGCAGCAGCTCCCTCGCTGCACGGCGTGATGGTGCTACTCAGCGTGTGAGAGCCAGGACTTAGGCTGGCACCCACCACCGACAAGGGACTGTTACTCGTTGTAGCTGCCGGTGTAACCTGACCAATGCTGGCTGGCGGAGGAGATCCGTGGATTGTTGCACATTGACTTGCTTGGCCGGCCTGGAGAAGATTCCCCGCAGGGATGCCCATAGTGCATACAACCGGTGCAGCGTCCGTGGAGGCTGTGAGTAATAGTGATGTCGGCGTGTACATCGGTGTGTGAAGATGCGGACTGCTGACCAGGCTACTGAATTCTGCAAGGCAAGAATGTGCATGTGACAAAGAGAGAGAGAGAGAGAGAGAGAGAGAGAGAGAGAATTGGAGCAAAAGTTGGAGAGACACTCATTGTGAGATGTCTGATTTACGTTGCCAGGTTTAGTATGTATTTTCTCACACACTGATAAGTGGGTTGCATCAGCCAGGTACCGGTACCCCTTTTGGAAGCTGAATGGTGTGTGCTGAGCAATTGCAGATTGCGGCTCACAGCTGCCTATAGTAACTTTGTAATGCTCAGCAGAAGCCAAACATATGTCAGATCGGGTGGAGCTTTGGGCCGCTGGATACTGAAAGCTTAGGTCACGGAAGATGCTACAAGAGAACCTTGTAATTGTGGAGAAAAGAAAAAAGCACACACAGTGCTGCTAGCTTGATCTTAGACGGGCTAAGTCTGCCCACTGATCCTGTTTGCAGACTTCACAAACAAAACTGAACAGGCGTTCTACGTGCGATTGCAAAAGTGAAAGCTCGATTAGTGTACGGTTTTGATCAATCCGAAGTCAATCCTCGCTTCTGGATGGACTGCGGCGGTCGTTCTGGCATCAAATGGCAGGTTTCGTACATGGTCATTTGTCAAAAGAGACAAGTGACAGCCTCAGGTCAGTTGCATGTGCCAGTGTGTAATGTGTCGTGGCTAAGTCGAGGTTCTGTGCTGGGCAGGCTTCTATGCAGCCAAGATCAGTCATGACTATGACCTGACGTGTGATCAAGGAATCAACCATGCGCTACCCGACCTGCCCAGTCCGACTAAGTTACCCGCATCCGTAGGACTGATGCCACCACCCTCACTAAAACTTAGATCTGCATTCTGCAGTAAAGCTTCAAACTCACAATCGCCATGCATGGATATAACATTCCGTCCTCTTGGATTCCTCTAGCAGGAGATACACACGTACAGTCTCGCAAGTTGAAATTCTCGAGAACCTAGCATACTACTATATCCAGTGTATGGTGATCACTCTAGACCCTGTGTCCTGACTGCATGTCTACGGGCATTGCAGGGCCCAGCTAATGTTTCAACACACATTTTGAACCGGTGTCAAAGGACCCACTAGCACTGTCTATAAAGACGGACTTTCTGTGCTCTACGAGGCAGGTGCTTGAACTCCAGGCATCCACGGCTGGAACCTTGATTCGATCTCCACGCCTTGATTGAGCAGTCTTTCTGGTTAGCGTCAAAGTAAATCTGCTTTCGTGTACAGCTCACAGTGTTTTCTTGCAGTTTGGAGCACCCTGACTTTTTTGATGCTTTGCGCCAATTTACATGTATTTCTCAACTCACATCTCAATGAAACCTTCGTGAAATGACGCTTCAGCTGGTTCTATTTACTGCAATCCTTAAACTGCTGTCACCTCGCCGCCTTCTCAAATATTTCTAAACTTCGAGTCATTGTCATCAGTGAGGCCACTGTGAGCCCCGCTGATGAGACCTAACAAGGTCGAACAAGCTACAGGTGTCTGTAGATTGAGCAAAGTTCAGTTATCCGGACTAGCATTTTCCAGGGCGTGAAGCTTGAATCCAGAACACTTTGTCCTTGTTTTTTCTTTTCATTCTTGATTTGTGCGGGTCACTATTGGCAACTAAAATATCATATCTGCATTCAAAGTGAACAAGAGATATCTAGAGAAGAGTTGAGATATGGCTCATCTGACAACATGGATAGTTCGAGACAGGTAGGTACCGATATCCAGATAAGTGAAGTTCGCCGGTACAACTTCAAGCGTATGCTCTCTCTTCAGCATCTGATTCAGATCCAGAGAAATAGGAATAGGGTAGCTGTAGCGATAGACCAGTCCCTGCCACCAGGCCAGGTGGTGCTTTGCTTTTCAACCTGGTTAGACTTTCATTCACCCAACTCCGTCCAGAATTTAATGCACGACAAGCTCCCTCCATCCGTCGACCCTGCAAGTCTGCTCGCAAAGCACTACCCCCGACTATTACTTGTCCCATGATACACATCGCTTCAGGGCCATGCTCTACAAGGCTGCAGATTTGCCACCAAAAGGATAATGTCAGCTGAAGCACATCTGTGACTTGCTATTTAGAACTGACATACTTCTACAGTGGGTTTTTACTAAAGACCTTTCGAAGTACATCATTACATCATTACATCATTACATCATTACATCATTACATCATTACATCATTACATCATTACATGGTGAAGTTATTTCACTGTACCTTCATTTGCTTACCTTGAGGAAAGGATAGTGGTCCCGGCTTGGTCACTTTGATTTCTGCCGCCGCTGTTGATACTACATTGGTCAAGCTGGTTGCTTGCTGGCGAGCTAGGGCGGCCCTGGCTCTTCGCCGCTCGCGTCTTCTCGCTTTGCGAGCGTTGTGCACCTCTTCCCTTTGCTTCAGATTTGCTACATGCCGCTGTACGCTTGGTGGCGGTGGTCTCTCCTCCAGGGTTATTAGATTCTCGGGTGAAGTCGCAGTATCAGGGTCCTCTTCCATCGTGTCCTTCATCCACAGCAGCTCTTGGATGTACCATATGGCCTCTTCCAGGATGGTCTTCCGTGGCAAGGTGGACACTTCATCTTCCGGAATTGGTAGGCACGTGGACAAGTTCTGGAACTGTTCCGACATTGTTCGGACCCTCTTGCGCTCCCGGTCATTAGCAAGCCGTCGCTTCTTCCCCTCTCGGCCAAAATGGGAGCGGTTCTTTTTCCGCATGCATGCAGCGCGCTTGCTGATGACTTTCTTCGGCTCTTCGTCACTTTCCAGTTCGTCTGCCTGGTCGCCGGCCGGGCTAGCAGTGGGCTCGCTATCCGTCACCTCCTCATCATTACCGCTGTACGGAGATAGCATCTTCTCACAGTCGGGTCTTTCAGTAGGCTTTTCCGCATCTTCGCCAACATCGCCCGGAAGAACCGCCTGGAACGGACACATAGTGTGACTGCCGTACGAAGACGACGGACGCGAGCGGCTGAATTGAGAAAACTTCCGGCAGTTTTTTTTGACCGACGTTTCCTCGTGAATGTGTGCCCGTTCTTCCTTCGTGTTTGGTAAATTGAGCTGTCCTGCACCGATATCCAATCCGCACGCCAGGATATCATCAGCAACAAAATACCTAGCTACTTCCAAAGAAAAGAAGGAAATAATTCAGCCGAACACCGTCGGAGAAGCAAAAAATGTACTGTGCAGAATTTAGTGAGCGTGTTCCTCTGCAGTAAACTTCAGCTCTGAACATGAAGTCAGTTATGATTTGCTTTCCCCTTTGTCGGGTTCAATTTATGATGTAGAACCCGCCACAGCTCACGTGAGGGCGACACAGGAGTAATCAGCAATCTCGGTAAGGGATATTACTGGCGTAACTGCTGGTGTTCATGAAGGTAGCCTGTACACTAGGTCTGAGAGTCACTGACAAGATTAGATTTTAGGTGTGGATTCCACAGTGAGAGAGCTAGCTAACAGCCTTTCCATTTACGAAATTATTTTTTGCTCGCTCGGAGTCGGAAGTAGACGGAACGCGATGGTAGGGTCGATCGTGTCGATGATGGACCGAACCCACAAACCTGAAAGCGTATCTCGACCCCAGGCTAGTATCGGTCTAGCGCCTCGTCGATCGAGGCAGGTATTTCGGACGTCACAGCTTTCGCGGATCACGCGATATCACTCTGAGCTGAGTGCATTTTGATTGTTGAGTGTTCTAGTCAAGCTGTTTCAGTGTTTGTAGCATGGTAAACCATGGATAACCATGTAAACAGGCTACAGCATGCACTGCTTCTACTTCTGTACTACTACTACTAGTACTACCCGTGACGATGCGGACTCGAATATTGACACAACCAAGCCCACAGCGTCAAAAGGAAACGCCGCATATGCGCATGTGTGCAGGGTCACGCCAGTCGCGCCAGTGCCGCTTGCACGAGCAGTGCCTGCGTAGCTGCATACCGGGCGCAAGAGAAAGCTCTACAACAGACGGGAAAGCTGTAAGCTGCCCGAAACAAGCCGTCAGCCACCGACCTGTGCCTGTGGCCAAGACCGATCGAAACAGTGAACAGGTTCGCTGTCTACGTCGTTGTAGTGTCTCCGCACCTCGCAAAAGGAAATGCATTTTGGTTGTCGCAACACTTCATTCAACAGGGTTACGGACGTACGGACATAGCTGGAGTGCATGAATGTTGTGTAAGAAATGTGCCGATTGACCATTGTGGAATCGGGAACCTGTAGTTGTGAGAGCCATCCCAGTTCAAGCATGCCTTCACAAACGGCACACGCAGTAGATCTACACTGTACGTGTTTGCTTCGCAGCCATGGAATCGCTCACAACTGAACGCGTGATGACTGTGTCGTTTCACTCAGCTATCAGGTCGCTTGATGAATGTAATGCCCTTCCCATCGATCATCGTGCACATGATTGTATGTGTCAAGTAAGCCTGTCGGTCCGCATGACCTATTGAAGGGGCCGAGGCCCCGGCTGTTTCCGAGTTCAGACCGGCGTAGATCTAGCTACGCGTCGCTACTACAAATTCTACAATGTGGTAATCATGGAAAAATAGGGAAAGAGTGATTTGATGGCCCAGCTCAGGCGCCTTCTAGACTTATTTTTCTAGGATTGTCCCAAGGCTGCGGAAGCCCATAGAGGCCCATACAGAGGGCTCTTCTGTGAAAGGAAAGAAGAGGAAGAGATGGTAATTGGTAGTCTACCTAACCTACATCATGTACACGTATCTTATTTTTATAACATGTTTGCGACTGAATTGGTGTACAGCGTAGATCTACGCCGAGCGTCTTGCCGGCGCCCGCGTCCCGCCTTGGCAGCGAAGACGTGTGGCCGGGTGCGCTTCGTGTTCCGTTACTGGCATTACTTGTGATGATGACCTGAAAGAGGTTTCCACTGGCCTGCGTGATAGGGACCGCGAAAAGGTGGCAGATTCTGCTCGAAAAGCAGTAACCATACCAACCTTATGGCGGGCGCTCGAATTCTGCTCCATTTCTTTATCCACATACCAAACATGCATGAAACTTACCAGAAAAAGTACCGAATTCTGCCAATTTTTCTGCCGGCTGCTGGACCCTACTGCGCGATCTGATGAGTGATGTGAAACAACCATGATACTATGATTATGACTGTGTAGGTCTACATGAGGGCCCGGTGTAATATGCCCGAAACTTTGCCGAAAATGCTTTTGGGAAATTCTCGTAAACCTTGCCGAAAATGCTCCCAAACCTTGCCGAAAATGCTCACTTTTTTGTAATCCTCAGCACACGCCGTCAAAACCAGGGAGTCAGAAAATACTCAATAAGAGACTTGCTCGAGTCTGCCATGGTAAACAATTCATAAACTACTCAACAAGAAGCTAACCCACGGAATGCGGAAGTGACGTTCTTGTTTGCAAAGTTTTTCTTCTCTCTGATACACAACGGCCAAGTGCTCCGTTTCCCCCAAAATGCTGCATCACGAGCCCAAAGACTAAGTGCTGGGTTCGCGGATTGTACCGAAAATGCTCAAAAAATGCCGGCATATTACACAGGGGCCTAGTCTACTTCGACATGGTGTTTTTGTAGTGACTTGCAACGGGGTCAGGGAAGACTGAAGCCATTTGAAGGGGCTAGCTCCTTTCTAGTGCAGCCCTGCTGTGTCCACGCGGTGCTAGCTGGGCTCATGTAACCACAAAACTCGACCTGGGCTTTCCGGCTTGCTGGACGATACCGCGATGAAGGCGTGTAGATCTACATGTACATGTACGTGTGCGCGTGCAGAGGGTATCCCTAAACGGCCTGGCCTCTGCTGACACCACGGACACAGTACATGTAGGTCTACAGGCGCTAGTCTGTGTACAGACAGTCAGTACATTGTATACGATGGGGGTCTTGGGCCCATGGCCCTGGGGTGTCTGGGCTGACCCATCCCTATCGCAATTTTGTGATCCTCTGCACTGGCATCATGGTACAGACCATGGACATGGTATTGGTAGATCTCCCCAGTAGGTCTCCACGTAGGCTGTCTGGGACTGGAGGTTTTCCGTTCTCACAAAAATAATCATAAACTGATTGGTTCAACCGGTGGCGTTGGGTTTCTGGCTATATATGTTGCACTTGTAGAATCGCACAGTGCTGGCAACTGAAATCCGACCCCCTGAGCGGTGGGTGCACATTCTTTGGGATGTGAGCGCATCGCTGGGGTGGGGTCGGATTTCAGTTGCCAGCACTGTAGATCTACTTGCATTAACTAAACCTAGTACGGCCAGAATGTAACACGGCGAGAGTTCGTAGACTGTCATCAGGTGGTCGCCTTATCCAGGGCCAATTGGTCTTCTAGGACAGGTGGTCGCCTTATCCGAGTGGTCGCCTTGACAGGTTTTACTGTACTGTAGTTGGATTTACACGGGCAGTAGTGTTCTGCTTATGACCACAGCAAAGAAAACGTCTGAAGCTCGGATGCGTTGTAGTAATGATGGATCCAGCGTTTGGCAGAATGGTTCGAAGGCTGCCCGTCTAGGCAAAAGACAGTGGCCTGTGGGTTTCCAGCGAGTTCAATGGAGGCCCGTGTGGGCTGTACAGTACGGTATTTCTACTTGAGCTGTTTACCTAGGGAGACAAATGGGGATCAGGAAGATGAGACGAACACCGCATGTGCAGCCACTAGTCTATGATTGTCGAGTTCAATGAACGCAAGACAAATAGAAGCAGTGTGTTCTAGCTCGAGAGAAATGGGGTGTACAGGTACATTGTATCTCTCTCCTCTCTCTCTTGAGCGTTTATGGTAATGCCTTATGGCGTGTTTTCCCTGCTCGCTGGGTTGATAAGAAAATGTCATCTAGTCTATCAGTACATGTATCAGTAGTCAGTATCACGGTGACAAAGCACTGCATTCCATAGTACCGAGTAACAGTACCGAGTATACATGACATTGTAAAAGAGGTGTTTACGGTATGCGTCTCTTGCTAGCATGTACGTACATGTACATGACTGTACATCCACACCTAGCTCCTGAAGCTTCAAAGTACAGCTGTAGCATCAGTAACTTACTTAGCAACATTTAGTTGATACATGTAGGTCTTCAGTTTTGGTCTTGCGGTGTTCGGCATGGTGATCACTGATCAGCCAGTTCGGACCTTGGCTTGTCCACCCGGTACTAGTAGCAGTCCTCACTTTTTGGCCAGGCTCACAGACTGATGAAACCAAAAGTAGCATTGCCATTGCTTGACCCATTCACAGTACAGAGAAGCGCAAGAGTGGTAAGACGAACATTCGTAATGACGTCATTGTGCCACGCGTGTGTACAGTGTACACCCGGGTGGTACCGATGCTAACGTTATGGAATGTTGACCAGGGAGTCGTAAAATACCATTTTACGACTCCCTGATGTTGACCATGGTTGACGGACTAGACTCGGAAATGATTGTTAGCACTTGTCGTGTTACGCAGCGAGTAGGGGAGACGAGGATACTACAGGTACACACAGGGTACAGTAGTGAGTTTTTGAAAATACACGATCCTTGAAGGTACATGTACATCATAATACACTTTAGTGCATGCACGATGAGCGCGAGCACGTGCTTGACATTGGACGAATTTGGCGGTTTTTCTTCCGCGCCATAGCATTTCTGCACGTATCTCGAGAGCAATTGCATACTTCTCTGCTAACTGGAGAAGCATTGACGTCATAGCGACACCCCATCCATATCCTAGATCCTACATGTAGGCTGAGGTCCCTGAACTGGATAGTTGTGGCCCTGATAGGCTGATCATGTCAAGCCGTGCCAGGTTCACATTCACAAGTAAAAACTAAAAACTAAGACAAGAAGAAAGCGTGTAGCTCTCAGCAGCCCAGCCAAGCAAGGCGGTAGACGGTAATGCAATGGCCACCGCCCGCAGAACATACGTCAACCTGGTCAGCCGCTGGAACGCTATGCCGACAACTAGTTACTTCGACAAGGCGACGCCAATGCCAATGCTCATGGTTCACCATGGGGCTTGGGTTACAGTTGGTGTCCGTGAGATTTCGCAGTAACCATGTCCGATGGTCTTCATTTTGGCATTTGCAGGACGGCTCATCTCTCCTCACATGTAGTCGTTTCGCACCTCCAATAAACGGTCTCGTGTCACTGTCTTCCTCCCTTGTCGAAATGGTTTTCGGCGTACTGACCTAGAACGACGTCACCGTTCTAATATCCCGCCAGAGCGAACAAAACTGCATGACTCACATACAAGATCGTATTCTCCAGAAGGGGGGAATGACAGGTGACGTACGAAGTAAAAGGCGATGTGGACGCCTAGTGGACGGCATCAACTGGCCCTGTTTGTACCGCGGCATACATGTAGCTCAGTCTTGAGCTCGGCCGAC